TTTGATCCGGAGCCTGTTTCAATCTCATGGTCCGAAGATATCAGTACTCCGCTCGACTCTATGCCCTTGGATGATGCAGACGAGATAAGCGACGCGGAAGCGGAAGCCCGAAAACAGAAGAGTGCGATTGCGCGGTACGAGGGATGGTGCCGTGATCCTAATAGTGGTGGTCTCGCAGTTGTTGAAAATGCCATGCACGGCGAGAGGTGGATCACCGTGGAGAGTGACGACACCCAAGAATTTCTTGAGAAACAGCTCAAGATTCTCGAGGCATTCAAGGCCAAGTTGCCAGAGAAGGGCAGCGACAATGCCATCGTTCGCAGCACTCGTCATATCGACTACACTGGCGATGAGACGAGCATCAGCGAGCACATTGGACCTGTGCAGTTCAACATGGGCGGTATCCAAGTCGATGCCGATGATATGTTGCAGCGTCTCAAGGTAAGATATAGCCACTTTACTACTCTGAATAAGTTGCTGACATGAACAGGATCGTAATGCATTTAGCTCTTCCCCAAGTAACGAAGAGGAGGAAGCCGATACGCCTGCCGCGAATATGGCCAAGGACTTTGACAACGAGCAACTGCAGAGCTTCTTTACTGGTTTGATGAACCGCAAGGGCACTGGAGACACATCTAGATCTTGAAAAGGGAGTAGCAGATGCCCCACCCAGAGAATTATGGACGATCTCCTTTGCTTTTCAAAACATTGTATTTGTCAAACCCTTTGTGCTCAGCGAGCGTAATGGAGAAATATTTGGGGAGGGCGGTGGCCGATGTAGATTAGATACCCCTGAAATGATAAATTTGATAACATCTGGGCTATGCGTATTTAAAGAGTGTAGCAAAGAACTTGCAGTCTATATTCGTCATGCATTTAATTTCACTCATCAAATGGTTTCCAAAATGCTGTGTGCTCTTCAGAACTACTCTTTTCCTTATCACGCCTGTCCCTTGAACGCCTTGGGATGTCTGTGCTGACTCCAATAGCTTGTGCACTATATTTCCTAGGATTCTAGATACTTTGGCATAAATCGCCATCCTGGGGTGTTTATATTCGACACTTCATTTTCGCTTCTCTCCGCCCAATCTGGCCGTGACAACACCCTGGAGTAAACCAGGGAAGAGCCAAGGATGTTGTACCACTTCGACTTCAAACGCATTTATCGTCTGGCGAGCTTTGGCTGCCAAGTCGTCATCCGAACGTAAATCCGCAAGGCGGAATAGATTGGCTACGCTGACGGCGTTTGTTGACGGTAATGACGTGTCCATACCATCCTTGAGGCGGAGAATTGTGTGAGGATTATTGGCTTGAGTGCTGAAGAAGGCGCCATCGGCATCATAGAACAACGAGGTTTGAGTATCTGCGATGGCATGGTAAGCGGGATGTTATCGATGGAGAGAGGGGAAATGCGACGACTCACGCTGCAAAATGTCAGCGAATTCCAGGTATTCTTGATTTCCTGTCAGTTCGAGAAGATCCAGTAGACCTTGAATCATGTAGGCGTAATCATCTGCAAAAGCGGTATTTCCGCGACCTCCAGACCATATCCTGTATAGGATTCTCTCGTTGCCATCCCAAAGCTTTTCTTTGACGCGTGCAGCCGCCTGCTCTGCGATTTCCCTACACTTGGAGCTTTGTTCTGGTCTCAGTGTCTTCAGCGCCGAGGCTGCCTTGGAAAGAGCCGATATTACAAGACCATTCCAACCTACAACAATTTTGTCATCCAACTCAGGTCGCACACGCTCTTGTTCCCTTCTCTTTCTTAATGCTTGCCTTCCTTGTTCAATATACTCTTGGATCTTTTCCACCGGCGTGCTGAATTGGGTGCTAAGTTGTTCGATAGTGCTTTTGACCCTGAGAATGTTCTGGTCGATAAAGTCGTCGTTGGGGTCGTTTTCCTCTTGGACATTTCCATCTTGATTGACATTCCAATAGGTCGCTAAAATAGGACTCATGTGACTATCAATCTCAGCAAGGACTGAATCGAATTCGCGCCGCGTCCAGACATAATAGGCGCCCTCGCGCTTCTCCTTGTCGCCTTGTCTATAATAGGAGTCGGCTGCTTCACTTGAAGCGAAACCGCCCTCAGGAAGAACAATCGGAGACGAAGTGAGATACTCAGTAAGCTCGAGAACAACATCCAGGAACTCATCTTTTTCTCCTCCGCCACTAACCTTCCATGCGTCAATATAGAGGGAGAGCAGTTGCGCATTGTCAGTAACAAGCTTCTCGAAGTTAGGAATGCTCCAATCCGCTGTAACGGAGCAGCGCGAGAACCCAGTGCCTCCAATATGGTCATGCAACGCTCCATCACGAATGTGACGCATTGTATCCAAAGCAATTTCAGTGGCATGTTTGCACTCAGCCTCCCCCACAACATCCTGAACGGCTCCTGGTGATCTCGGAAGCCCTAACAAAAATGCCAATTTGGGTGGTGTCAGGAACTTAGGTGCCAAGCCAAATCCACCGAAAACAGGATCAAAAGTACCGGCGATATGGGTATAAGCCTCTTCCAGCTGATCCAAATCCAACTCCTCTGAGACTGCAGTGCTCTTCTCCTTGGTAGCGCTTGCATGGCTCGGGGCTGGTGCTCCCCATCCAGCTGGGCCCAAAGCTGAGGGTGCCGAAATATTCCTTGTACCCAGAGTACCCTCAGCCGCGAATTCCTTGAGCTGGCCAACAACCTCGGTTGCCTCCTTTCGGCATCGGGCTTCCTGATCAGTCCAAATATCACGAACTTTCTTAAAGATAGTCAGAGAATCGAGGACTTCTTCGGTGTTGTCATCATTGAGATGTCGTCGTCCTGCGGGCCCGAACCAGTAGGTACCACCAAAAACTGGTTCCAAGTTGGGTGTAAGGAACACGTTCAAAGGCCATCCGCCAACGTTGCTGACAGCTTGGACGTAGTTCATGTAGATGGCGTCTAAGTCGGGGCGCTCCTCTCGATCGACGATAACTGGTATGAAAGACTCATTCAATACAGAGGCAGACTCGGGGTTGGAGAAGGTCTCAAGCGACATGAGTCGGCAAACTTGTGGCCGTTAGTAATCAAGTGCAAGATAGAATTCGCTTAGAAACTATCACGCGACTTACAGTGGCATGCCTTGTAGCCAATATGCAGGAAGATGAGCTTGTTCTCCTTGCGCGAACGCTCGACTGCCTCGTCGTCTAAGAGCTGCCATGAAACCAAGCTTTTAGCCTGGTCCCGGATGTATGGGCTCTGGCTAGCAGCCGCGCGGTTTCGCAAAGGTGCGAGGGGCTTGGGTAAGCTCGAACTTGACTCATCACCACTGACGGGCGTGGAGCGCATAGCTCTAGCAGATGCGGTGAGTTCTGAAGCTACCATGGTGATGTCTTGGCCTGGTTTGAGAGGTGTATAGCTGATTGCGACGCTGTTGCTGTCGTCAAGCTGCGGGAAAAGTAACCCGGAACTAACCACGCCTTTGGTGGGGAGGAGGGTTGGAGCTGTTTATAGCCAAGGGCTGTGTGGTTATTTCACCTACACGATAGCGATAACGTATGGATATGATGATGTAAGAGCTGTAGCTTGAGGTGTTGTCAAAGCTATAGCTCGATGCTGTAACGATGGTGAGATGAAAGATGTAAGCGAAAGAAAGGCATGTGAGTGAGTCTTCCCGAAAGATGGCTTCATAGAAGTGGTTAAGCACCCGCTGGTGAAAGATTGGATTGAATGGGGGAAGCTTTCCGACTTTTGGAAGGATTCCCATAGAAGCCAAGTAACTTGAGTGGTGAGGCAAGGACAGTTCAGCGGGGTCGTCCATGGCAGCACCTCAGTCGCGGGGCATCCCATACCAGACGTTTAGCGCCCTTTCCGCCTTGGGTAAGGTCTGACGACATGCTCTTGATGTTGGCTTTCATGAGTCAAGCATCGATAATGCCATATTTTCTGAGTCGTGTAGGGTGTTTCGACCTGAAAATCAGGTGCCGTTTGGATGTAATCAGACTTCCGCTGTCTATTAGTGTATCCATTTTGAGTTACAGGGTAACAATGAGTGTAACCTGAGCAAGCTAAGTCCGGTACCGGCCTATTTCATACCAAGATAAGGAAGGGTAGGAGTAGCCTTCAAAAGTCGGAGAAGTTCATGTCACTCAACAAATCTAGTGTATTTACTGGAGTTTCCGTTTCGATCATATGTCTCTGGTTTCAAATGGATGCGTTGTCCTATCTGTCGTTAGATGTTGGTCCACATTCAAGCTGTCCGTTGAAGCTACCCTAAAGCAAATACGTTTCTTCTAAAACATATTGATAAAGCTATTGGGACGAGCATGTATCAAGGAATGGAAAAGACTAACGGTAATATTAACGGTACTGCCAGTGTTATGAATGATACGAGAGTCTTTTCGGCTCGATGCTTCTTGTCGTACCCCAAACGCAGGTACATATTTGAATGACAAAAGACAATGGAAGCTGAGTGAAGATAATCAGGCGGATGTGAAAAGAGAACTGAGCTTACTTGGTGTACAGGCGGAATTGGCTAAGTGGTAGCAGATATAGTAGTCAAGGTAAGAAAATACGATATGAATACTGAAAAAGAAGAAGCATCTGAGCTGGTGTCACTGGTGACGGGGAGGTAAGATGTAGAAGACCTACGTTACATGATACCATCCATATATGGTTGGATATTGAGAAGCTACATGAAGAAAGGTCCTAACAAGCAAAATCTTGCATGAAAATCCTCAAGTCATGTGCATCAAATCAGTTGACTATCATCGTCTGCGGAGATATTGTTCTTGCGGCAGTTCATAACTGACCTTTAACTCCAAGGTTGAGTTTCAACAGTGGATTCGTGGATCATCCTCCTTACTTGGCCGTTTCACACTCTCCACTGAACCACGCTAAAACGGCAGCTAACTTATCGATAAGCCGATCACGGAATCCCTGCAACAGCTCTCGATGAACTTAGAGCTTCGGCTTGTTGCCTACTTCTTTCAACCTTCTTCATCTTCTTATCCTCTTGAATAGCCAGCGCGGCATCATGGCCGAGCCAACATATACTATTTTCGTCCGGGTCCCCATGCCCCGTGGTGACTTCGTCGACCCGCCACCGGTACGAAGCTCTTAATCCAGCCAGTCAATCATAAGCCATCATGCCCATGCCCTTGCGCGCATCGGAGCACTCATGGCAGAGCTAACTAGAAGCATGACAGGTAAACTGGGACTCCGTCAAAGATGAAGCATTATGGAAGATCCTTTCCGGAGCTGCTAAGAAGCAGATAGACTGTAAGTATTCACCACATTCGTGAATATTTATTGGTGCTGACTTAGACAAGGGGACGAAGTGTAGGTGTCGATCTTATCACAGTTATCATACAGGCAATACTCATCTGAGGTGCAGCGCCGATCGCTTCGAAGTTCCCGTCGATTTCCTCCTTCAGCAGGTAGCATACCTTACCGAAAGACATGCTTCGCAGGTCCGCGCTCAAGTTCGAAAAGCTACCGCCGCCGTTCGTGGCTCAGTGCAATCGCCAGTTCTAGGCGTCGACTCCGCCGGACCCGGTCATCAAAGAACACATTCGGCCATGTCCATCCGAAAAGACTCACCCATGCCGCGCGCCGACGCAGGAAGCGGTACTGGTACTCCTCTCAACGCATCAATACGGCCGGTTGTATCGCGAAATCAATCGACAAATACTACAGTTCTGAGAGATATGACCGGAGGCTCAGCTTCCCCTCGACCTGGAACAGGGCTGGCTTCGCGGACCGGCGAGCGACGTCGTCTTTCATCCTTACCAATATCATCAGTTCCCGCCAAATCACCAGATCGAGCAGCTCAGCCGGAGCCAGCGCCAGATGAACGAAGCCCGTCACCAGGCCCAGCCGAGGACAGTTCACCAACATCGTCAGAGGACGAGTCTAGCCCCGCTCAATCTCGCATCATTCGTCGACCTCCTCGGTTTCAGCAGCCTGATGGAGGACAATATGAGGATGACGACGATGACGAATCAGAGCCTGCGTTTCAACCATATACATCTCCTTCCAACCAGACTTCGGCACAGGATCTCGGCTCAACGCTAAGGGGAGATGGGCGTAGCTCTGGCAAAAGGCATCACAGGCCTCACGGAAAGTCCGCCATCCATCAATCTCACACATCTGATTCTTCAGCCAGCTCTGCGGCCATGGTACAAAAACCAGACAAGTCAGATAAAACGACGGAGCAGCGAACGCCCGGACCTCTCTCACCACGCCGAACTGCAGAGTTGGCGGGACGTAGCCCGGGCAATCAGAGCAAGGGCTACTCCCGCGAAGGTAGCGACGGAACGCCTAGTATGGGTAGTAGTTATAGTGATCTTGACGGTAAGTTGTTTTGCTACCCTCAACCCGCTTGGCGTAGATTGCTCACCACACAGTCTTAGACGCCTCAGTTACACAATCTGCATTAGAGGAGGCATTGGCCAGTCATATGAACAGGGGTGCAGGAAGCCGCTTTAGCATCAGCCAGGCTTTTCGTAGCCGTTACAATACTGGCCCCAATCAGTGATTGGCTTGAGGGTTTGTTTTAAATTTGTATTGCTTGAAAATGCTCGTTTGGCATGGCGCTTGGGCATGGCAAATGCATTAATTAGGGCGTTTGGTGAGGCACCGGTTTTGAATGTTTAGGACACGGTCGTACAGATATCCCACCTCTACTCTTTGCTAAGATAGAAAGAAGGCTGAATATATAGTATGGTTAGTGCTGTAGGAGATTCCTGTGTTTCGCAATAGCTTCTAGGTTGGTGGTATAGCCTACTAAGGTAAGTAGTTTCTAAATGCCCGAGTTGGTGATGGGACAGTTGCTGCTACTAAATGATGCATACGGAGTGCTGAATAAACACAAAGACGACGCAAGAACCGAGAAATTACTATTCTGATCTCTTGTTTGCTCAAACGCTTTGCAATTGCTTCATACAGGATATCATAGTATTAGATCGGCATCTCCGCCGGCTGCGTGCAGCTGCCATAGTCATCTCTAACATTTCTCTGAGTATTTAATCGCAAGCACTTACCAAATGCAACTTCTCTCCTCCCAAACCCTTTCCATCTACCGAAGATATTGGAAAAGTCCTAACTCAAGACTCATAGAACCTCGCACCTTTTTAAAGGATATTCCAACCTGGCACTATGTTTCTCAGAAGTTGGTCGGGCCTCCCCAAAGATGCCTCCTTTGCGAGGGATCTCGACGGTCTTGGGTTCGCCATCCATGACTATTGCAAGATGTATCGCTGACACGGAGTAGTTATTTTGTGAACGATGATGATGAGGTCCGATCTATCGAGGATCCGGAATGTTACTACAAGTTCTTCAGCAGCAAGAACTCTCGTGTCAATGAGCGCCAGCGCTTCCACTTCAACAGTAAGTGCCTGATCTTGGTGGCCCCGAGTTAAGGTAGCCTGACTAACAGAAGCACTGTAGTGGCTCTGGAAGACATCATTCATGATCGCCTGGAGAAAGAAGGTCTCAAGAAATATCACCTTCTGCCCGAGAACAAACAGCAATCTCCCATCTTCCTCACCCCCAACATTGCCAAAACTACACGAATTGTCGTCGTCCTTGGCGAACCCACTAAAGACCTAGGATGGATTGCTGGCCGAATCGCGAATGGACCTGGTGGCCTTGCGAAGGGAACCATGCTCTCCGTCGTTCAGACACTTGCCAAGCAGACTGCCAGCCCCAATGATCCGGAGCCTCCTTGCGTTATCCTGGCCAATATGGGCCAGCGGTTCTGGTGGCCTGAAGAACAGCGTGCTCTCACTATAGAAGCAGCAGCTGATATTCCACTTCCCAGTATGGTGCATTCTGGACGTCGATTCATCAAGGAACTCAATGAGATTCCTGGAAGCGAGACGCCTTTGGCGCACATGACGACTGTTTTCAACAAGGTTCTCGAAGTCAACCAGACTGTCGCGGTCGACATCATTGCTATTGGGCAAAGCTGCGAGGTTGTCTTGCAGTTCTTCGAAAACGAGAAGCACTGGGCGCAATGGGGTAACCGACTAGGCGGCATGCTCTTCATGGGCACTGTTTTCGCAACAGATTTGCTCGTCAATACTGAATTCAAAGCGTTCCTCGCCAAGGTATAACCCAAACCCGATGATAGCTAAAGTTTCGCGAATCACTGACCATCGCAGCGCACTCGTGGCTATCTCATTTCAGAGGAGCCTCTCGATACTCCCCTAGCTATGCCGGGAGGAAACCCATCACTCTTGATCGAACCCCTTGGCTGCCCCTGTTTCTCTAGCGGAGAAGACCAGTTCATCGAAACCATCCTCATCAAGGCTCTCGACCCAGCTCTTGCTTACCTTCAACAAGTGGCTCTTACTCCCAACTTTGTCAACCCTGATATGGCTGTTGCAGAGCGTCGCGCAACCGATATCACAAACGAGAGATGGAGTGAATTGCCAGAGGAAGTCAAGCCAGAGGTCACAAGCGCTGATTTCGAGAAGATAAAGGAAGAAATCAAGCAGAAGAGACGCTGGGACAAGTTTATGGAGACGGGTAAGGCACCTGACGTAGACTTTGACGAGGACTGAAAGCATGATGAAATGGCCTGAAGAATGGACCTCGTCGAATCGTGCATGTGCGAGGAGAGTGCAGATGGACACCAGGAACGGAGTTTATGTTGAAAGGGGGATATCTTGTTCATTAGAAGCAGACTAGAACCAATCTCAGGTCTCAAGCAGTGGCTAAAAAAGATGTGGCAAAATCCTTTGCAGCTCCTGGTATACCCACGTTTTACAAGTTTTGTTTTACATTATTTTACGCTTTGAACAGTGAGGCTATATTGGGCCCAGCTGGTGTCAGGTCCTCAATCAGTTCTCTTGTCCTCCTCACACGCTCCCTGACCACAGCTTCCTCCGCGATCCAACGGTCTTCGGCAGTTGGTGGGGTGGCGCTCCAGAAGGAGAATACGCCTGATTGTGTAGAAGCCTTCGCTTGCCGAAGCTCTTCTTCCCTAGCAAGCTTGTTGACCATTTTACCCCAGTTGGCGAGGCCTGCGCTTAAGCACTCGCGGCAAGTAATTTTCGCGGCCTTATCAGCAGTCAGAAGATCCATGTTTCGTAGCTGCTCCTCTGCAACGTCGACACTGTCACGCGTCCACGAGAGGCCGTCGTCTTTAGATGATGTCGAGAAGAGAATTTCGCCAATCCAGAGACTGAGAGAAGCCTCCTGACAGCGTTCGTGAGGGCTGCGCCAGGGAGGCTGGGTGCCATCTGGTGGTGGAGGTGGGTAATCGGCCTGGGAGAAAGTTTTGATCACTTTGTCGAAGACAGAGAGAGACTTTGGCTTTAATTGAGCAGCGGGAGGAGGGTCGTTAGGTAAGTAGCGACGAGCTTTGAGAAGGGAGAGGTAAATAGGGAGAGCTGCGTCGACTTTGCCGCTACGGGCTTTGAAATTCGCCATAGCAGTGATGGCATCAAGGACATTTTGTGAGGGCAAACCGGCCTTCTCATTCAGCACGAATGTCTTGGGGTTGTAAGGAGGTTGCGACATGTCGACTCCCTGGGTGGCCTCTGCGAGAGCCAAGTGGTATAGCGCCTCAGCGCCTTCGGGCTGCTTCTTGAATTCCAGGTAACTAGCGTATTCAAGTGTTGCCTCGAGCTTCTGTCGGGAAGTAAAGCCCTTGGTGCCCAGGATCTTCATGTAGAAATTATCAGCGCTGGGATAAGCAATTTCACAGTCCTCTTCACGGGGCGCATGGGGTTGACCTGGAGGGATGGGCGTAGGTCTAGGGTTTGAGGGTCCAATAACAAATTCGGGTGGTGAGATGATGTTGCGAGAAAGGTCGCGGACCCAGCCGTCAACATGTTCCGCACCTTTGGCAGCGAGCATGATAGCCTCGAAGTATCCTCTCCTCCATTCCTCGCTCTTGCCGGAGATGTCACAGGGGTTGAATTCCCCAGGGATCTCCGCTTCAGGATCGACTCTATCCGTAAGTTTCGTAACGCCTTGGCCATCAACCTTTGGATCCTCCAATCTCAACACTAATCCTCGAGCCAGCTCGAACGACCAAGGCCAATTGATCTCGCCATTCTTCGGTGCCTTGCTGTTATTTGAGTCCCTTAAAAATTTCCTTGTCATCCAACCCCATTCGTGGGGCGTGGGATATTCCTGCTCCAACCTCTCTTCATTGACAAAGAACAAAATCACGCCGACACAAGCTAAGAGACCCCAAAATGAAGCAGTGTATCGTACCGCCAGCTTAGCTTCGTGCTTCAGCCATTGCCTTCTCTCCGTGGTAAAGTTTCTGACGCCGTTGGTGGTTATTGGAATCGCGAGAAAGGGGAGGTTCGGTCTTGAGTTGGTGGTGAGTTGGGTGCAATGTGTGAAGGTTCGAAGGCATGGTAATCGGGTACGAAGTGTTGGTGTTCTGGGTGTTAGAACCCGAACATGACGGCCAACAAGCCGGTGACGCATGGCGCCTGCGTAATTTATTGATCGCGTATTTCGCCTGCTCGATATAATCGTCGCTGACTTGCTATAGTTTACAGATTGTCGTCAAAATGAGGGTATCTCGAGTCGTTGGATGATGAGGAACTGATGTAGGTGATTGGAAAATTGAGCCAATTGGAGCTAGAAATTGCTGACTAAGACATCATTCTCTGCCAAGATCTTGAAAATCCGATTGAGGATCGTGAAGACTAAAAGGTGCTTGTTAGTGTGAGGCCAACGGGCGTTTTTTCTCTCATTATCGTGTCTTAAAATGTCTTCCTTCTTATCCTCAGACACGTTCTCGAACCCAAGATTTCAGCTTTTTGCGGCCGCTGTCTTCTCAGCAGCTACTACGGCTTCTCTGTTACTCGGCTATCAAGCATTGGAGCGAGAAGAGAGAGTATATGAACTCAAGAACTCAATTCCTGCCGATGACCCCAATATTCAACCTGTAATAAGCTCACACTCTCTCTTAAACCCCCTTGCTAATTAGCCGCAGTTAAATAACTTTGGCGGCTCATCAGCGCCCCCAGTTGATAAGGAGGATGCAAGAAATCAAGCTCTAGCCCGCCGAGCACAAGCTGGTGACTTCGACGAAGAGCTAATTCTCGAACAATTGGCGAGGAACCGGGTCTTCTTGACAGACGAGGGTCTTGACAAGCTACGAAACTCGTTCGTCATCGTGGTTGGCTGTGGAGGCGTTGGTTCTCACTGCACAGCAGCCCTTGCGCGTTCTGGGGTCTCGAAAATCAGATTGATAGATTTCGATCAAGTGACTCTGAGCTCATTGAACCGACATGCGGTCGCTACGCTGGCTGATGTTGGTATTCCCAAGGTCCAATGCTTGGAAAGGCGCTTGATTGCCATTGCACCATGGGTAAAATTTGATCTGCGACAGGAGCAGTTTAATGAAGGTGTTGCGGAGCGTTTGCTTCGACCCTGGAGTGAAGATGGACGTGCTCCTGACTTTGTTATCGATGCCATCGACAATATCGAGACCAAGGTTTCACTTCTCGAGTACTGCTATAAGAACAACCTGCCTGTCATCAGCGCCATGGGTGCAGGATGCAAAAGCGATCCTACAAGAATCATCGTGGGAGATATTGGGGCTAGCAAAGATGACGGGCTTTCGAGGGCAACACGAAGGAAGCTGAAGCTGAAGGGTATCACAAGCGGTATCCCCGTTGTCTACTCTACGGAGACATCAGGCGCTGGTAAAGCCGAGCTACTCCCTCTACCTGAAGAGGAGTTCCAGAAAGGCTCTGTTGGCGACCTCGCCGCCATGCCTAACTTTCGCGTTCGAATTCTTCCCGTGCTCGGCACAATGCCCGCCATCTTTGGCCTTACCGTCGCGAACCATGTTATTCTGAGCATTACAGGGTATCCACTGGATTATGTACCTGCCAAGGGCCGCGAAAAGATGTACGAAGGCATGCTGGCAACATTGCAGAGCTATGAAGAGAAGTTGGCACGCTTGGGTAATGAGGGCGATCAAATAGGTCTCAAGGTCCCCATCACTGTTGGTGATGTGGCCTTCCTTTCTGAAGAGCTCTATCATGGCCGAAGCGCTATTACTGGTATCCCGACAAAGCTGGTCCTTATCCGGTGGCAGAAACCGAGCGGCTCCAGTATCACGACCTTGGGCGAGGGCAAGAGCATCCAGAAGTGTTCTACAGTGAAGCTTCATGATCTCGTGTTGATGACCAAGGAGGAAGCCACTAGACATGAGAAGGAGATCTTCAAGGGTGGAAAATCTCTTGAGGATATCTATGATGCTGAGACAATTGTGCGGGTTGAGGAGAAGAGAAACACGGCTGAAAAGTATGAGGCGTTTCGTTCATGAAAAGGGGGACTGGCTGTGAGGTGTATATCTGGTAGACCTGGATAGAAGACGGCTAGAGGTGTACAATCATATCGAATGATTCCTCCTGGGCGGCCAGGGGATCCATTACTGTACGTTTTACGAATTGTAGACGAAGAATTCACGACTTCCTTTAACCCAAGCTCCCCGATATAAAGCTTCCTCTGCGCAATATCCAACAATATGTTTAACGCCCAAGGGACGATTGCAAACCCTTCTCCAATCAATTGACCTGATCAGCATTTACAATAACGTCTGTAAGTTCATATATGAACAGTATCCCTATCTTACGGAGTGTATTTCTACCAATATTATCTTGATCAAGCTATTGCAATCATGATGAAGCCTTGAATGACTGGGAATATGTAAAGGCCCAAATTCTGGTCATAGACCAATTTGCTTTCATACTCAAAGGGCTTCGTTCTAAACTCGAAGACGGCTACTGTCACTGCTGGTCCAGCATTGCTGTGATGGACTATGTGGGTTCGATCACATTACGGTCATTGCCCTGCCTTGGGAGGATCAACAAGATAAGCAAAGAACGCATCCATCTTCCATGTAAGGATCCAATTATCTGACGCCAAGTCAAACACATTGCATGTTTCCAAGAGCCTGCGACGTTGGCATGGCTAGTATCTGATATCCAAGTCTTGAACGTGTCATATCAACGTGATGCCACTCAAAGGTGGTTTGACTGAATGCATATTTGGCAGTCCTTCCAGTGTCATTGATCACTTGGGCTTATCTTGTAATTTCGGTGTAAAAGCCGATATCAGGCCTCATGTGCTTAGGTACGTCAGCCTTGGCCAGCTTCACAGCACATGTGCAGGATTGTGACCATAGCGTAGGTTTCAATGGCGCGCAAGTGATTTCATGCGAACGCAACGGAACATCGATATGTAACTCTAGTGTCGCACATTGATAGAGTCGACTGCCTAGTGATACACGTACCATGATCACACAGTCGCTTAATCACAATTGGTGCTGCGCGCTGTAAATCTGACGCTTTTCAGCAATTGGACCTCAGACCGAAACTGTGTTCTGTTTGCCTTGAAGTTAATACCCTTGGCAGCGCCCGCTCAAATGCCACTCGTCACCCTCGCAGCATTTACACTTTACAATGATGACTGCAGACCCAACGTTGACGTGGATAAAAAATGCAAACAACCGAACACTACCAACACTTTCATTGTAGTCCCAACTATCGTCAGGGGACCAACATCACTGGGTCTCCTCACC